AGCGTCGTGCACCTGTGACCTCCTCCAGGGCTGAACCAGCTGGGGGTCAAGCCCCAGGACCCTTGGGAATCAGAGAGTGGGACTGCAGACTGTTGGCACTGAGCTCTGGGCTGACCAGCTCAGCCAGCGGGCAGCAGAGACAGACCTGTGGCACTCTGGCCTTGGGAGTCTGGCCCAGGGTGGGAGGACCAGGAGCCCTCCTCTCAGCTGCACCACAAGCAATCCCTAGGTCTCAAAGCCTAGGAGTGGGACCAGCAGGAAGGATGCAGCAATCCCTCGAGCTGGGCTGAGGAGGGAGGGCTTTCCGGAGGGGGCTTTCAAGGATGAGTTTGCTGGGCAGCAGGAAGGGAATTTATGGCAGAGCAAACCTCAGAAGCCAAGGCACATGAAAAGGGAAAGGGTGTGATGTTTGGTGTGGCCAAGCTTGGGAAGACCCCGGGCTGGTGGGACAGAAGGAGCTGAGCTGGAGGGATGGAAAAGCTGCAGAGGGCTGCGTGCTGGGCCTGGGGGCTTGCATGCTTGGCAATGGGGAGCCCACGGAGGGTGCAGGGCAGGCAGTGACTGCTGCAGGCACTGTATGGGCATCTTGCACTGCAAGAGATGAGGGTCACCATGGAATCCAGGGCTCACATGTGCAGGGAGTTGGGCTGGACCTCAGCCTGAGGGCCTAACACTTTTGGTTAGCAAGGGGGCTAGATGCTCAAGGTGACAAGAAGACAGCCATCCTTTGTCACCCTGTCACTGCGTGCCCAGGTCTCTGCTAGGCACTCCCTATTTGAGGCAAACTTAGTTTTGTTTTCTGGTTTTTTTTTTTTGCGGTACATGGGCCTCTCACTGTTGTGGCCTCTCCTGTTGCGGAGCACAGGCTCCGGAGGCGCAGGATCAACGGCCATGGCTCACGGGCCCAGCCGCTCCATGGCATGTGGGATCCTCCCAGACCAGGACACGAACCCATGTCCCCTGCATCAGCAGGCAGACTCTCAACCACTGCACCACCAGGGAAACCCTTCTGTTTTTTTTAAAGTAAATTTATTTATTTACTTTTGGTTGCATTGGGTCTTCGTTGCTGCGCACTGGCTTTCTCTAGTTGCGGTGAGCGGGTGGGGAGGGCTACTCTCTGTTGCGGTGCGCGGTCTTCTCATTGCCATGGCTTCTCGTTGCAGAGCACGGGCTCTAGGCGTGCAGGCTTCAGTAGTTGTGACACCGAGGGCTCAGTAGTTATGGCGCATGGGCTTCGTTGCTCCGCAGCATATGGGATCTACCCACGGGTTGGACAAGGAAGAAACCAAGTTCCAGGATGAGAGAGGGTCGTGCACCTGGTGGGCGCTGTGAGGTCAGCAACAATATTTTTCATGATTATTAAAACGCTCTTGGCTAAAATAGCAGCTATGAATCTCCTGAAGCAGGCCGTGGCACCCCGCCCCCTGTGCTCCATCCCGGTCCTCCCGTGCCCCCTCCCCCAGGCGCTTCGCAGCACTCCGCCCTCCCTCCGTGCCAACCCTATTCTCCTTGGCCTGTAAACGGCTGCAAGCGCCGCGAGGCTGGGCGGGGTCGAGCAGGAGGGCGGGGCCCGGGTGGGCGGGGCGGGGCTTCCTCGACGCCCTGTGCGTCGTCCTGGCACCGCCTTCGCGCTCCGTCTCCGCCTGGCGCGGGCTGCGGCGCAGTTGCCGGGAACCTCTGCGGGGCGGCGGCGGCGTTTCCGGGGAGCCGGTTGGCGGGCGGACCCGGCTCCTGTGCGGGGCGGAAGTGGGCGGCTGCGGTCCGAGGGGAGCCGCGCTGCGGGCGGAATCTGGCCGAGCTGGAGGGCGCCGGGGAGCGGAGCTTGGGGGGCCCCCGAGGCCCGGGCGAGCGGACAGCTGCGGGGCCTGCGGCGAGCGCGGCGGTGCCCGGGGAGCGCGGAGGAGATGGGGCGCCGAGCCGGATTGGGGCCGGGGCGTCGGCCATGTTCGCGGGGCTGCAGGACCTGGGCGTGGCCAACGGCGAGGACCTGAAGGAGACGCTGACCAACTGCACTGAGCCGCTCAAAGCCATCGAGCAGTTCCAGGTGGAGCCGGTTGGAGGGGCCGGGTGGAGAGGCCGAAAGTCTGGGTGTGAGTCCGGCGGGGGGCGAGGTCGCGTGGGAAAGCGGGCAGATTTCTCTCCCTCCCGATCGCTGAGTCTGTTCCCCGGGCTGGAGGAACCAAGTGTCCTGAGTTGGGACTACGTCGACGGACATCTGAGTGGTTTCCAATTTTTGCAGTTACAGCCAGCGCGGCTGGGAACATCCTTGTCCCTGCCTCCTTGTGTACTCAGGGCATCCGGAGTGCCTGGCCAGACGGGGCTGTGACTGAGGTTTCTCTTGTCGCCCGAAGAGTCAGATCGAGCTCTGCTTCTTTAGACAGAAAATGGCGTGCTGCTGCCCTCCCTGCAGTCGGCCTTGCCCTTCTTGGACCTGCACGGGACGCCCCGACTGGAATTCCACCAGTCAGTGTTTGATGAGCTTCGGGACAAGCTGCTGGAGCGCGTGTCAGCCATTGCCACAGAGGGGAAGGCCGAGGAGAGGTAAGTGGGCGGTGAGATGGGCAGCCCCCTCCCCAGCCCGGGAACTGAATGTGCCCCGGTGGCTACACATCCCTACTGAAAAAGGGGCCGCCTGTGCACATCACCCACCGGTCTGGGGACAGGCAGGGAGCTGCTTCCGACTTGGTCCTGGGCTGCTCCCTCAGTGCTGAGAGTCCTTCCAGGTACAAGAAACTCGAGGACCTTCTGGAGAAGAGCTTTTCTCTGGTGAAGATGCCATCTCTGCAGCCAGTGGTGATGTGCGTCATGAAACACTTGCCCAAGGTAACAGCCGCAGGACCAGCTTGACCTGGGGAGGTTTCCTGAGCTGCCTGCCTCAGCAACGAATGGCAGCTCTGGAGCACGCTCCCCACGCTGGCTTCTCCCTGAGCCGAGCCGCGTGTTGACCGAAGCTTGGCACAAGCTCTGGAGCGTGGCGCCCTTTCTGGGAAAAAGCTGTCTGTGGGCGGCACGGCTCCTGCCCTGTCAGGGCCTCGGGGGGCCGGTCACGGGTGCCGCTGTCAGTTGGGGCTGGGCTGGCTGTGGCCTCTGCTGTGGGGGGCTGAGGCCTGCCGGCTTGTCTTGAGGGAGACCCCTGGGGCACAGGTGCTGCTCACAGGTGGGCTCTGGGGTCACGTAGGTTCCTGAGAAGAAGCTGAAGCTGGTGATGGCCGACAAGGAGCTGTACCGGGCCTGCGCCGTTGAGGTGAAGCGGCAGATCTGGCAGGACAACCAGGCGCTCTTTGGCGACGAGGTCTCCCCGCTGCTGAAACAGTACATCGTGGAAAAGGAGAGCGCGCTCTTCAGCGCGGAGCTGTCCGTCCTGCATAATTTCTTCAGCCCTTCCCCCAAGACCAGGCGCCAGGGCGAGGTGAGGCGGCGGGGGTGTGTGTGCAGGGCCTCACCCTGAAGCCCTAGAAGCCTGAAGCCTAGAAGCCCTGAAGCCGGCGTGTCTGCTTCTAGAGGCTGGGCTCGGATGTGGGGCTGGCAAGGGGCATTGCAGCACTGCGCCTGGGTGTGGGTCTCTGGTCTTTTCTGCGTACTTTGAGCTCGGCAGCTTGGCCGGCCCCTCAAGCTAAGCTCTCTGTGTCTTCTTTCAGCCCTGGGAGTTTTTCTGTTTCTGTGTTTGATTCATTCCTCGCTTCAACAAATGCTCTTTTTTTTTAAACAAATGTATTTATTCATTTATGGCTCTGTTAGGTCTTCGTTGCTGTGCGCAGGCTTCTCATTGTCGTGGCTTCTCTTGTTGCGGAGCACGGGCTATAGGCGCGCAGGCTTCAGTCTTTGGGGTACACGTGCTCCGTAGTTGTGGCTCATGGGCTCTAGGAGCGCAAAGGAGCTTGGGGGGCCCCCGAGGCCCGGGCGAGCGGACAGCTGCGGGGCCTGCGGCGAGCGCGGCGGTGCCCGGGGAGCGCGGAGGAGATGGGGCGCCGAGCCGGATTGGGGCCGGGGCGTCGGCCATGTTCGCGGGGCTGCAGGACCTGGGCGTGGCCAACGGCGAGGACCTGAAGGAGACGCTGACCAACTGCACTGAGCCGCTCAAAGCCATCGAGCAGTTCCAGGTGGAGCCGGTTGGAGGGGCCGGGTGGAGAGGCCGAAAGTCTGGGTGTGAGTCCGGCGGGGGGCGAGGTCGCGTGGGAAAGCGGGCAGATTTCTCTCCCTCCCGATCGCTGAGTCTGTTCCCCGGGCTGGAGGAACCAAGTGTCCTGAGTTGGGACTACGTCGACGGACATCTGAGTGGTTTCCAATTTTTGCAGTTACAGCCAGCGCGGCTGGGAACATCCTTGTCCCTGCCTCCTTGTGTACTCAGGGCATCCGGAGTGCCTGGCCAGACGGGGCTGTGACTGAGGTTTCTCTTGTCGCCCGAAGAGTCAGATCGAGCTCTGCTTCTTTAGACAGAAAATGGCGTGCTGCTGCCCTCCCTGCAGTCGGCCTTGCCCTTCTTGGACCTGCACGGGACGCCCCGACTGGAATTCCACCAGTCAGTGTTTGATGAGCTTCGGGACAAGCTGCTGGAGCGCGTGTCAGCCATTGCCACAGAGGGGAAGGCCGAGGAGAGGTAAGTGGGCGGTGAGATGGGCAGCCCCCTCCCCAGCCCGGGAACTGAATGTGCCCCGGTGGCTACACATCCCTACTGAAAAAGGGGCCGCCTGTGCACATCACCCACCGGTCTGGGGACAGGCAGGGAGCTGCTTCCGACTTGGTCCTGGGCTGCTCCCTCAGTGCTGAGAGTCCTTCCAGGTACAAGAAACTCGAGGACCTTCTGGAGAAGAGCTTTTCTCTGGTGAAGATGCCATCTCTGCAGCCAGTGGTGATGTGCGTCATGAAACACTTGCCCAAGGTAACAGCCGCAGGACCAGCTTGACCTGGGGAGGTTTCCTGAGCTGCCTGCCTCAGCAACGAATGGCAGCTCTGGAGCACGCTCCCCACGCTGGCTTCTCCCTGAGCCGAGCCGCGTGTTGACCGAAGCTTGGCACAAGCTCTGGAGCGTGGCGCCCTTTCTGGGAAAAAGCTGTCTGTGGGCGGCACGGCTCCTGCCCTGTCAGGGCCTCGGGGGGCCGGTCACGGGTGCCGCTGTCAGTTGGGGCTGGGCTGGCTGTGGCCTCTGCTGTGGGGGGCTGAGGCCTGCCGGCTTGTCTTGAGGGAGACCCCTGGGGCACAGGTGCTGCTCACAGGTGGGCTCTGGGGTCACGTAGGTTCCTGAGAAGAAGCTGAAGCTGGTGATGGCCGACAAGGAGCTGTACCGGGCCTGCGCCGTTGAGGTGAAGCGGCAGATCTGGCAGGACAACCAGGCGCTCTTTGGCGACGAGGTCTCCCCGCTGCTGAAACAGTACATCGTGGAAAAGGAGAGCGCGCTCTTCAGCGCGGAGCTGTCCGTCCTGCATAATTTCTTCAGCCCTTCCCCCAAGACCAGGCGCCAGGGCGAGGTGAGGCGGCGGGGGTGTGTGTGCAGGGCCTCACCCTGAAGCCCTAGAAGCCTGAAGCCTAGAAGCCCTGAAGCCGGCGTGTCTGCTTCTAGAGGCTGGGCTCGGATGTGGGGCTGGCAAGGGGCATTGCAGCACTGCGCCTGGGTGTGGGTCTCTGGTCTTTTCTGCGTACTTTGAGCTCGGCAGCTTGGCCGGCCCCTCAAGCTAAGCTCTCTGTGTCTTCTTTCAGCCCTGGGAGTTTTTCTGTTTCTGTGTTTGATTCATTCCTCGCTTCAACAAATGCTCTTTTTTTTTAAACAAATGTATTTATTCATTTATGGCTCTGTTAGGTCTTCGTTGCTGTGCGCAGGCTTCTCATTGTCGTGGCTTCTCTTGTTGCGGAGCACGGGCTATAGGCGCGCAGGCTTCAGTCTTTGGGGTACACGTGCTCCGTAGTTGTGGCTCATGGGCTCTAGGAGCGCAAACTCAGTAGTTGTGGCGCACGGGCTTAGTCGCTCTGCGGCATGTGGGATCTTCCTGGACCAGGGCTCGAACCCGGGTCTCCTGCGTTGGCAGGCGGGTTCTTAACCGCTGCGCCACCAGGGAAGCCCAACAAATGCTTTTAGGGTGCTGACTCACTGCCCTGGCCCCTGGCCCCTTCAGTGACCCCTGGGGTACTGGGGCACCTGCCTGGGGGTACTGCAGGCTGGTGTGGGGCGAACCCTATGCAGCAGATGTCACATTTTGGTCCCTGAGAGCTGGGGTGGGGGCACAGAGCGATGGGGGCGGAGGGGCGGGGCTGGAGGCCACCGTGGACACTTTGGCCTTTCCTGGTGAGGTGAGGGTCCCTGGCCTGGTTCCAGGATGACCCCTCAACCTGGGAGGGAGGTGATGGTAAGAGGCCAAACGCTGGCCGAGGAGTGTTTGATGTTGCCCCGTGTTCTTTCACCGCCAGCCTCTCGCCTGGGGTTTTGTGTGTGTGGCCTGAGGTGGGTCCTCACCTTGCGTTTTCTCTCAGAGGTCGGGCCGCGCCGGAGCCTTGGCCGCGTGGCCCCGGGGGCCCTGGCCTTGGAGCCCCGCCAGCGTAAAGGGAGGGCGCCCCGCCGTCCTCGGGTGGGTTGGGCCTTGGGGCTGTGGCTCTGTGCCCAGCAGGCCAGGCCGTGGTCAGGCTGGAGTGCGCGCCTGTCTCCGTGTTAGAGGTGCCGGTACGTCGGCGCCGAGACTCGGGTGGTGCTCTATGCCTGCCCCACTGTTGGGGTACCAGGGCCTGGGGAAGGTGGGCTCCCGTCCCTGCTGACCTCCCCACTCGCTGCATGCAGCCTGTTGGGCTGCCTTGGCGTCTGTCACCCCAGGTGGCCCTGTGCATCCTTATGGCCAGTGTGCCCCAAGCGGGGCCCCCTCCTGTTGGCTGCCGCCTTGGCAGGAGCCTCCCAAATAGGGGCAGGGTGTGGAGGGGGGTGGCGGCGGCCGCCGGGAGAAGGTGGGAGTGGGGTGGCTGCGGCAGGGCCTTGAGCAGACGCTGGGCGAGGCGGTGCCGCCCATCTTCATCTGGGCCCGAGTCCCCCACGCCACCGGCTGCCCCGCCCGCCGACTCTGGTGGAGTCTGGGACCCGGGCTGACGGCCTCTCAGAGGAGCCGCAGGGCCTGATGGGTTCGCTTCCTCAAAGACAAGAAACGTTGCCACCCAGCGCCAGTTGATGTTTTGTGAGAGAGGAAGCTTAGCGCCACAAGGCTGTGGCGTGTGCGAGGCCGGCCCGCTGTCCCAGCAGGTGGTGCAGAGGCTGACCCGGATGGTGGGCCGCAACGTGAAACTGTACGACATGGTCCTGCAGTTCCTGCGCACGCTCTCCCTGCGCCCCCGCAACGTGCACTACTGCACGCTGCGTGCCGAGCTGCTCATGTCCCTGCATGACCTGGACGTCGGCGACATCTGCTCCGTGGACCCCTGCCACAAGGTGGGCACCTGCCCTGCCCTTGCTGGTCTCCCCCTCGGCTTCTCTTTCCCCTCCCCTTGGATGTGGCGGTCCAGGCACGTGGGCTCCGCCCTAGCCCCTGTGCCACCTCTGCCCACTCGGCTGGGGGACCGTGATGTCCCCTGGACGCCTGACCCAGAGCCAGCTGCGCCCCGCCCCCTCCGGTCTCTCTGGGGCCTCTGGCCCTCCCCTGCCCCAGAGCCCTCGGGGGCTGCTCACTGGGGAGCTCTGTGTTCAGGTACAGGGCTTTCTGCACTGCCCTTGTCCTGGCATAGGTGCCGTGCGGCCCCAGACGGCGTCCCTTCCCAAGGGCTTCGCAGCATCACGCTCTGAGCCTGCACTGCCCCCCCGCCCAGTGGGGGCCCTGGAGGGGCCCATTTCAGAACAAAACGCCCATTTTGCCCCGTTCTTGCACCACCTGGCCTGTGGGGATGTGGGCACTTGGGCCTGTTTCCTTCGTGCTGTCCCATTCCTGGGGACAAGCCATGCCTCGGCGACTCGAGGTGGGGGTCCCGATGTTCGCCCAAGGCTCAAGAAAGCTCAGGCAGTGGTGAGTGCTGCCTGGAGGCTGCAGTCTCTGGCCGAGTCCTGACCACGCCTCCTCCCCGCAGTTCACATGGTGCCTGGACGCTTGCATCCGAGAGCGCTTCGTGGACAGCAAGAGGGCCCGGGAGCTGCAGGGCTTCCTTGACGGAGTGAAGAAGGGGCAGGAGCAGGTCCTGGGGTGAGGGTCGGCCTTGTGCCGGGTCCTGGCCACGGGCGCCCGGACGAGCCTGCTGTGGCCGCGGTCGGGAGCGGCTGTTTCTTCCAGTACATTTTAGGAGGACTGGTTGGCGCCCGTGCCCACGGCTGAGAGGCTCGGCTGCTGGGGTGAGGCCGTCGCCATCCCAGGCGAGCTGGGCGCCTGGGCTGGGGCTCTGGTGTCTGCAGCCGCGTGGGGCCTACCTGTGAGCTGAGAGGCCCGCCGCACCTGGAGGTGGTGGGATCTGGCTTCCGGCAGGGCCCTCTCTGGGTGCGCTCCGCCTGGCCTCCTGTCTCAGCTCCTCGTTCCTGGAATTGTCTCTGTGGGAACCTGATTGGATTTGTGGAGTCTGGGTCAGGTTCTCAACCAGGGTTGGACCTTAATTCTTTAAAAAACTATTCGATGCTTAAGTTTGCTAAGAAGTTAAGGGCAAGTTACGAACCACAAGCTCGTGGAAGGCGGTCCTGGGTGGCGTGGCCTTTGCCCACGCGGAAGGGCCGTCTCCTCGGGTCAGTGGCTTGGTGGGCCGGGAGCGCCCCTCACTGACGCCGCGGGCACGTCCTCACAGGGACCTGTCCATGATCCTGTGTGATCCCTTCGCCATCAACACCTTGTCGCTGAGCACGGTCAGGCACCTGCAGGAGCTGGTGGGCCAGGAGCTGCTGCCCAGGGTGAGTGCACCCGGCTGGCCGCATGCTGCCTTCTGTGGGACATGTGGGTGTGGACCCCTGGCACCCGGGTCCCAGCCGGCCCTGGGGAGAGCACACACACCCACCAGGTGGAGGGCATGTGCAGCCAGAGCCCCTGGCTGAGTGCGGTCTGGGCGGGAAGCTCAGGTGAGCACGGCCAAGGCCTGTGTCTCCCTACAGGACAGCCCGGATCTCCTCTTGCTGCTCCGGCTGCTGGCGCTGGGCCAGGGGGCATGGGACATGATCGACAGCCAGGTCTTCAAGGAACCCAAGATGGTAACGGGGTCAGGCGGGCTCCTTCCCGCTGCCTTCTCGAGGGGCTGTGGAGTGGGGTTGGGGAGGTGGGCAGGAGGACGGGCCCCAGGCCCACGTCCGGGAGGAAGAACGGAGGAAGGGGGCTGAGGGGCAGGGACGGTGCAGGACAGCTCTCGGGCCTCTGCCCCAGGAGGTGGAGCTGGTCACCAGGTTCCTGCCCACGCTCATGTCCTTCGTGGTGGACGACCACGCCTTCAACGTGGATCAGAAGCTCCCGGCCGAGGAGAAGGCCCCGGTCTCGTACCCGAGCGCGCTGCCAGAGACGTTCACCAAGTACGGGCTGTGGGCACTGGGTGGGAGGGCCTTCCCCTCGGGCTCCCTCGGGGCTGACGGTGCTCGGGCGCAGGTTCCTGCAGGAGCAGCGCGTGGCCTGCGAGGTGGGGCTGTACTACGTGCTGCACATCACCAAGCAGAGGAACAAGAACGCGCTCCTGCGCCTGCTCCCGGGGCTCGGTGAGTCACGTGGGCGGCGGGGCCCAGCCGTGTCCTCTCACAGACGCCCTCGGCTCTTGCCGCAGCCCACGTTTGCGAAGAGCCACCTTAATCTTTTCCTAAGGGGTGAGAGGTGTGGAGCCCCTCAAGTCCTCAGACCATTGAGAGAGCACCCCCTCCGCGGTGGTGAAGAGGCCGCTTCCCCTCCTGGGAGCCTTGCTCTGCCTGGGGTGCGGGGTGCAAGGCAGGAAGACGAGGGAGGGATCTCAGTGGAGCCCTTCAAGGGTAAGGGAGCGCCCGGCCGGCCCGCCGCACAAGACAGGCCCGGAGCCTCTGCTGGCCCGGCCCCGGTCTCCTGTGAGGCATTGCGGCTTCCTGGGGAGGATCTCACGCTTCACTGTCTGACAGTGGTGCGTGCTGTTTCCCGACTTTTCCGCGTGGGGGAAGCGGCCCATTGTGGGTATTAGTTTCTACCCAGCCACCACCTAACTGATCAACAGGAACTTACTCTTACGGTTCTGGGGGTCAGAAGTCTGCAGTGCGTCTCCCAGGGCTAAAGTCAGGTGTGGGCAGGGCTGGCTCCTCCTGGGGCTCCAGGGAGAAGCCCCTTCTTGTCTCCTCCAGCTTCTGGGAGCCGCGTCCTTGGCTCCTGGCCCCTTCAGTTCATCTGTCCAGCTTCTCCCGTCCTCCTGTCTCTGGCTTTGACTCCCGCCTCCCGCCTTCCTCTTCCAAGGACCCGTCTGTGATCACCGTGGGCCCACCCGGGGCATGCAGGACCATCTTCCGTCTCGGGGCCCGGTGCCCCTCAGGTGGCGCGTTCACAGGCTTCTGCGTCAGCACGTGGCGATCTCAGGGGCGCCAGCTTGCCTGTCTGTTTCGGGGGCTTCCAGGAGCACAGTCATAAGGAACTTGGATTTGCCTCATTCTTTCTACTCACTTTTGAACGTCTGTATCTTTCTTGTTTAATTGTGTCTGTAGACACAGGATGTCCTGGGAGGCGGGAGCATCCGTGTCTCCCAGCCGTGAGCTGCCGCCTGGGGGGCTGGGGTGCAGGTCTTCAATCACGTTCAGGGAGAGCGATCTCGTTCTTTGGTGTAACTGGTAGGTTCTAGTAAGAAAGGATGTTGGTTTTTAAAATTATTTACTTTTAAACTTTTTTTTGGTGGGAGTTTTTGATGAAACCTAAGTAAAGAGCACAGGATCGTGAAGGCCAGTGCCCATCGCCCACCTGCACGGGGGTACACATGCGGCTGCCGTCCTGTCCGCTCAGCGGTCTGTACGTAAACCCGGCAGACTGGCTTGGCACGATGCAGCAGGTGTCTCTACAGAAGACAGACTCTTAAAAACCACGACCTAGGCACGTGGTTGGTTGGGGTCCAGGTCCTGACGGTGGCCGCGTTGCCCCAGTTGTCATATAACGTTTTTGTGCGGATGGTCTGTTCAAGTCAGGAGTCAAACAAGGGCTTCCCTTCACCTGGCTTCTCCGGCTGCCTCTCAGGTCTTGTGGTCTGTAGGGCTACGTGGGGTTTGCTGGGGGAACCAGGGCATTTGTTCCCCGGTCGAGACTTTGCTGGCAGCGTCCCTTGGTGCAGTGACCGTGTGCCCGCCCGAGTGTCCTGTAAACCGGCTGCGAGGCCAGCCGAGTTCCCGGTCAGCTGTGCAGCAGGAGCACACCCTGGGCGCGTCCGGTGGGGTCGCGCGTCTCCCACTGCGTTAGGGGCTCGGTGGCTGGGGTCGCATCGGCATTTCTGTCTCAGCTGCTGTGCCTGCCTGCGTGCGCTCGGCGGTGTTGCTGGTGATCGCTGCGATCGGTTGGTAGTTACTCTCGCCATCTCTTCTGAGGTTTGATGGCCGTGGCTTCAAAAAAAGAAGGCCCGTTTGCTCCATTCTCTCCTCTAGAGCCTGTGGTCTGGTAGACCTGCCGGGCCGGCCCTCGGCACTTGTGTGTCTCCTCTTGCTACCGGCCCGTTCAGCTTTCCCTCTGCTGGAGTCCACTTCATCCTGAGCCCCTTGGCCGCTGGGCAGAGCCACCCGTGATGGGCTCTCGTCCCCTCCCCCAACCCTTGCCCTGGAGCCCTGCCCCCACCGTCTGCTTCCCCCGTCCAGGCCCAGGTTTTGGCCCTCAGGCCCGGGTCGGGGAGGTGGGTGTTGGGCGAGCTGTGCAAGGCCTGCTGTGCTTGCAGTGGAGACCTTCAGCGATCTGGCGTTTGGGGACATCTTCCTGCACCTGCTCACGGGCAACCTGGCGCTGCTGGCGGACGAGTTTGCCCTGGAGGACTTCTGCAGCAGCCTCTTCGATGGCTTTCTCCTCACCGCCTCCCCGAGGTGCCCGTCCTCTCGGTCCACATCTCGGTCGGGGGGCGCCGGGCACAGCTGGGGAGGGGGTGGGAGGGCGGCTCTGCAGCCGCCTGCAGCCCAGCGCGGCCTCTTCCAGGAAGGAGAACGTGCAGCGGCACGTGCTGCGGCTCCTCCTCCACCTGCACCACCGGGTGGCCCCGTCCAAGCTGGAGGCCCTGCAGAAGGCGCTGGAGCCCACAGGCCAGGTGGGTGCCCTCCCCTGCCCCGCCCCAGCCTGGCTGGCGTGCGTGTGCGTGCGTGCGTGTGTGCGAGAGAGAGAGAGAGAGAGAGAGACAGACAGAGAAAGGGAGAGAGGAGAGATCTGTGTGCACGCGCTCTGGGCCTGCCCCGAAGCCACGCGCTTCCCCCCACAGAGTGGAGAGGCGGTGAAGGAGCTGTATTCCCAGCTCGGTGAGAAGCTGGAGCAGCTGGACCGGAGGAAGCCCAGCCCAGCCCAGGCCACAGAGACCCCAGCCCTGGAGCTGCCCCTCCCCAGCGTGCCCGCCCCGGCTGTACTCTGAGGCTCCGCCTGGGGCTGCTCGGGTGGGCAGGGCCCCCGGTGGGGTCGTGTCCCTGGTCGGCCCGGAGAAGAGGCTCCCCTGTGCCTGTGAGAGCACGAGCCCGTCTCTCCTGGAGGTGGACTGACTGTTCCTGGGACTGGGGGTGGGCTGAGCGGAGACCCCGGGGACTGTCCTGTGGGCAGGGCACCCGTGCTCTGCACCTCAGCCTCCCCTGGAACTTGGTCCTGGGAGGTGTGTGCCTCCTGCGTGAATGGGACCGGCCGGCTCCCTGGAGCACAGGCCTGCTGCAGGTCTGCTGCCGCCCGCCAGGCCCCTGGCACTCCCACGCCGTGGAAGGCTGCTTGCTTGTTCCTCCTCGCGTGTGGGTTTCCACTGCTGTCAGGCAGACAGGCAGTATTGGCATTAGGAAAAGGACACCTGTTTTCCAAGGGGCGGGGTGGGGCAGGGGTGGGGCAGGGGCAGGGTTGGCGCCCGGGAGTTTGCTGGGGGCGGGGGTCTGCAGGTGGAGCCCAGCTCTCCAAGGAGCTCCTCCCCTGTTGACAGTCCCGTGTAGCACATGGGGGGGGGAAGCCCAGGCTCCACTGCTGCCTCGATTGACCCTCCGAGCAGCGCGCTCGGCCAGGTGAGGGTTTGCTGCTGCTCATAGTGAGACTTTCACTTTTGTAAATAAAAGGCATTTTGGTAAATCCAGCAGATGAGCTGTTTCTGTGCATGCCCAGGGTTGGTTGCAGTGCAGGCTGGTGAGCGCTTTCCTGGCGCCTTTCTCCGTGGGCACAGTCTGGATGCCCAGCCCCGTCCGGGACAGCAGTTGTGGATGGTGAGGCCTGAGCCTGGCTGCGCTCGGGGCCAAAAGACTCGACACGGTCAGCCCTGGGTGGGCCTCAGTGCCCATCACCAGTGCTGACATGTTGCTGAGGGGCAGGCTGTGTGGAGGTCACTGTGACCTTGACAGGTGCGGCTCTGCAGGTGTCGGGGAGGGACTGGTAGAGATGGTGACTGAGGAAAGCAAAGACCCGGGGGTGTGGGTGTCAGCAGTCGGGAGGAGTGACAAAGGATGAAAAGTGGATGGGGCTTCGGGGGACGGCTGGGGTGTCACTGAGTGGGGGAGGGGGCAGCGCCAGGCCCAGGTGGGCCCCGCGGGAGTGGACGCGTTCCCAGGGTAGAGGTGGGGACCCCCTGGGCTGGGAGGCAGGATGGGGCAGAGGTGGGGCCCGAGGAGAGGATGAGGAAGGAGCTGGGCCGGGGGAGGAGCAAGTGCCCGCACGGGGCCCGCGTGACCCCCCTGAGGCTCACGGTCAAGGGGGACAGAGACCAGTTGGAGGCCAAGCTCCTCCAGCCGGGATGAAGGGACCGGGGACCAGAGGCCCCCAGTGGGCAGGGCTCGTCAGGGGGAGGGCGTGACCTGCAAGGATGGACGGGGTGGGGGTGAGGGCTGCAGCGACGGAGAGCCCCAGGTGGGCCGGTGGGAGGGGGCAGCTGAGCTCAGGGACCCTCTGGGGCTGCGAGGGAGGCGGGAATCCTGAGGCCGGACCGGGCAGGGCTGCGGGGAAGCTGGGGGGTGGGAGATCTGGTCAGAGGAAGGGAGCGTCCACTCGGGAATTCGGGGAGGAGGGAGCACGTGTGAGGTGCGGGCCCTGCCCACCTCCAGGCCAGCAGTTTGGGAACCTGAGCCCACACTGGGCTGGTGGAGGGGTCGTGGGTGGGCAGCGAGGTGAGGGGTCTGCAGAGACCAGGTTGAAAATGTGGACCTGAATTCGGGGCTGGGGACAGGGCTGGACGGGGCACAGGCTCTAGGGAGGGGTGGGAGGGCATCATACGGGCGTGGTGGGCTCGGTCCTGAAGGGTAGGGACTGGTGGGGCCCCCTTCACCCCTGGAGATGGGGGAGAAAGTGCAGAGGAGGCGGGCCTTAGTGCAGGGCTCAGGCTCACCCTTGACCCTGCTGGGGGCAGGCACTCTGAGGCATGACTTTCTTGACTCCTGCCACACACCACGTACAGGCCCCCACCTCACCCAGTGATGGGGCTCTGGACCCCAGCAGGTTTGGGACCAGCATCTGGCAGAAGCAGCTGCCAGCCAGCGCCCCCGCCCCCACCCCTGTGCACCTTTTCCCGCGTCTGCCTGTCAGGGTCCCCTGGGCTTCTCTGTGTCAGAAGCAGCTGGGAGACTAGAAAGCCTGAAGACGCCAGAGACCCCCCCCCCCGCCCTCATGCCGGGGCCGTGGGGCACCAGCAGAGACCTGGACAGGTATCCTTGCGTCCTGGTTCCAGGAAGGCCTGGGCAGGGGCCACATGATGGGTGAGGCCCAAGGGGTCCCTAAGCACCTGGCCCAGCACAGAGAGGGGCAGCGGGTCTCGGGGAGCCAGGCCCGCAGCTGGAGAGGAGGAAGCTGAGAAGCAGTGGTTTCTCAGTGATCCTGCCAGAGGGCATCGGACACACATGGACAGGCAGGAGCCCCATGTTCTGGGGAGGATGGGAACCCCCAAGCCTGTGAGTGACTTCTCCCTGATGCAGGCTGGGCAGGGAGGTGGAGGGAAGCTAGGAAGTGGGGAGGGATGGCACGCTCGGCAGAGGGAGCCGTGTGGGCAGAAGTGTGGAGGATGAGGGACAGGGAGGCTGGAGGATGGGGGCTCAGGACTGCCAGCGCCCGCGGGACACAGTTGAACTCGGGGCCAGGACTGGTCTGGGGGCATTACTGGTTAGCAGACCCGCTCCAGAAGGGAGGGTCATCCAGGCAGGCCAGTCTACACAGAGATGGCAACGGGGGTGGGGGCGGGGCCACATGAAGCTGGTGGCCGGGGAAGGGTCTAGAGTCTCCATCTGCCAACTCTGGGCCCAAGTTCTTTCTAAATTTGCCCTCCGACCAAGGCCGAGTCATGCGTGGGTTCTTTTCCCCAGTCTAGAACTTCCTGCCCTGTCCTGGGGTGGGGGCTCTAGGCTGGGGTACAGGGGAAGACAAAGGGGGAGGCGGAGCGGGGGAGCGCCGTGGAGCCCGGGACCTGGTGGAAGAGGGGGAGGAAAAGGAAACGAGCCCTACTCTGTGAGCACCCAGATTGGGCTTGGGCGGGGGGGAAGAGGGGAGAGGGTTGGAGGACCCCAGCTGGGGGAGGGCCCTGCCCGCCCGCCCGCTCCGCCTCTGCTAACCGGCAGCCTGGACACGCCTATGCCCCTCGCTGTGGGCCCTGCGGGGGACGGGGGGTGGTCAGGCGCAGATGTCCCTGGGGACGTGGGGGGGTCCTGTGGAGGGCAGGCTGAGGAGCAGAGGCACGTGGGACCCCAGGGGAGGCACTGCCCTCGGCCTTACCGGGTGTCCTGGGCCTGGGCTGAGTCAGGAGGGCTGGGAGGGCTTTAAGGTAGGTGACCAACCGGCCGGGGTACCTGGGCGAGTCAGCCAGGCCTCCCCCTCTGGTGCCTCCGTCCAGCCTGAGTCCCGCCCGCGCCACACCCCTGACTCACTTCCTTTGCAAAGAAGCGGAAACCTCCCCAGAGCTTTCTCCGCTCCGGAGGAGGTGTCGCTGCCCCTCTGATCCTGAGCTGACCCAGTGAGGCCCCTGACCCCACCCCATCCCCGCCAGGAAGCCAGCACATTCTGCTTCCTGCGTCGCAGGCCCCAGCCTCTGGCGTGGGCAGGGGCCCGACCTGGGGGGCTGGGGGCGGGCCAGCGAGAGCCTGAGCTGACGCAGCTGCAGGTACTGGGGAGGGCCGGGGGCACCCACCCCGCCTTTCTCCAGCTGTGTCCCCTCGGTGGCTTCATCTCTCCCTCTCCGGGTCTTGTCTTTCTGTCCCTCTTTTCACCCCACCCCCACCCGCCTCTAGGGGGCTCCCTGCCCCCAACTCCATTAGTGTTCCCACTAGAGCGGTGCTGGGAGGCCTGGGCTCAGCTTGGGGACAGGGGCCCATTCTGAAAAGCAGAAGTTCCGGCCAGACCGCGCCCCCCCCCCTCAAGTGTTCGTGGGGGAGGGGCATCTCTGAACTCTGGGGATGCTTTTGGGCCTCTGCTTCCCACGCCCCCCTCTAGGGACCGGAGGGCCCCCGGCGCCTGGCAGTCGAGCTGCATCAGGGGCGGGGTCCGGCCTTGACCCTGCTCCACCCCTAATTGGCGGCAGGTTGGCACCGACTCCGACTCCTCCTCCAGGAAGCCCGGGCGGCCGCCGCCCGATAAAATGCGCCCCCGCCCCCCCCCCCCCCCCCCCCCCCCCC